TGATGGGGTTGGCTTTAAGCTCTTGTAGGTGAATGTCTTTTATAACTAAAAAGGTTCTCTACCTTGGTAGAACTTTGGGCTGAGTCTTGAGTCATCTTTCTGGTCTCAGGGCCAAAATCACAGCTTGTCTTGAGATAGTTACATAATCTCTCCTTTGACGTCAGCTTCATGGTGTCTAAAAATGCAGAAGGATTAGTATTTGCTTGGGATAAGGGAGCACTGGACCATGGGTCAACCCTGCTGGCATGGAACAGAAGAATGCATGGCAGCGTTATAGACAAAAGGAGATTCAGGGACCCCAGGATCCTGTAAGAGCAGAGATGTAATGTAATCTGGGACTTGGGACCAAGTTTAGCCAGTATACGTCCCCATAGGTCCTCACGTTATTATATGTGATTTGGGCAGCCAAGAGCTGTCATGAAATGGTAGCTTCAGGGGCACCTGTCGTCACTGCAGTCCTCTAGACGATTCATATTTTGTATTTATGTGATTGACCATGATACAAGACCTCTAAAAGAAACTGGTTTCTCACATTTGTTCCATTCATATCTGCATTTCGCCATCCGTTGATGGGCAGCTAACTATGTCGCAGGCAATATTCTTGGTACCCAAATGTGTGACTCTCAAGCTTTACCCTTGCTGGATTCAGCAGTGAGAGATCTGCAAACAAGAAATTATGGGATGGCACCGGGGTGTCCCATGCGCTTAGAGAGCTCTAAGGAGCCTGGCCTGACTGTTGAGGGGATGGAAGGGAAAACAGTTCCTTCAGGGGAGGTGATGCTTTTGGTGAACCTGAAGGCTGAGGCATCAGCAGCCTGTCTTCTAGCCCCAAGCTCTCCATTGGCCCCAACCTCACCTTGTTTGCTGACTCACAGCCAGTTCCCCCATCTCTGACGTAGGAAGACAGCATCCACCTTTTCTGCCTCTGGAGGTGAAGTGAGGTAGCAATGAGGCTGCTTGTGAGAACATTCACTTATTGGAAGGTTCTCCTTGAGCCTGGCAGCGTGTGTTTGCAAGATGGCGGCTCTGCTGGGGCTTGGGTTCAGTGTGTGGCTGTGAACCTCACAGTTGTCTTCCTTAGACCAGTAGAGCTGAGTCGTATTGGTCATGACCCTGACTTTTTTCCCTGACAAGAGTCTGTCATTAGTCTGATCAAATAAAGCCCTGTCTTTCTCTTGCTAATGGTATGGTTTTGCAGAGACCACTTAACTAATTGGAGCCCAAAGTTTCCTTTTCTTTTTCTTTCATTTTTTCTTCCTTTCTTTCTCTCCTTTTCTCTCTCCTCTCCTTCCTTCTCTCCTCCTTCCTTCCTTCCTTCCTTTTTTTAGCTTCAGAGGTAGAATTTAGTGATTGATCAGTTGCTTATAACACTCAGTGTCATTACATCAAGTGTCCTCCTTAATGTCCATCACCCAGTTAGCCCTTCCTCCCACCTACCTCCCTTCCAGCAGCCTTCAGTTTGTTTCCTAGAGTTAGACATCTCTTACGGTTTGCTTCCCTCTCAATTTTCATCTTATTTTATTTTTCCTTCCCTTCCCCTGTGTTCATCTGTTTTGTTTCTTAAATTCCACATACAAGTGAAATCATATGGTCTTTGTCTTTCTCTTATTTCACTTAGCATAATACCTTCTAGTTCTATCCACATCATTGCAAATGGCAAGATTTCATTCTTTTTGATGGCTGAGTAATATTCCTGTGTGTGTGTGTGTGTGTGTGTGTGTGTGTGTGTGTGTGTGTGTATCACATCTTCTTTATCCATTCATCTGTCGATGGAAATCGACCTGGTGAGCCCCAGGTTTGTTTGTTTGTTTGTTTTTTATCTGTAAAACAAAGGTGACGGTACAAACCTCGTAGGCTGGCTGCGAGAAGATAGGACTTCGTTTGTATAAAATAGCAGCCACACAGTGACTACCCAAATAGTTGCCAATATTGGGAAAGAGGAGTAACCCAGAAAGGGTCACAGAGAATCAGGGTAAGCCTCCTGCTTGGCCACTTTTTGTGGAGGTTCCTGCTGTGGTTGAAGTCATGCCACTCACAGAGCTGAGGTTGAGAGAGGATAACCTACCCTGTGGCCCATACCTGTAGTATCGAGGTAATTGAGATTGGGTATATCCTTAATTAGTATTATATATTCAAAAAATACTGCTATATTATTCAGGTCTTTAAGAGGAAGGAAATCTAGTCACATGCAACATCTTGAACAAACCTTGAGGACATTGTGCTAAGTGAAATAAGCCAGACATGAAAAGACAGATACTGATGTGACCCTGCTTTTATGAGGTATCTAAAGTAGTCACATGCATAGAGACAGAAAGTAGAATGGTGGTCCCCAGGAGCTGGAGCAGGGAGTCAGGAGGAGTTGTTTAATGCATGTGCAAGAGGAAGAATTCTGGAGATTATACAATGCATAATCTCTATAATGTACTAACACTTAGGATCTGAACACTTAAAAATGATGAAGATGGTAAATCATATGTCTATTTTACCACAATTTAAAGTAATTTAAAAGTTTATTAAGCATGTGCCCATTGTCAGACATTATCCTGGCACAAGGGGAGACAGTGTGAGTAAAAACAAACATGGCCACCCTCTCCCGTTATGGAGCTCAGGGGCTGGCAGGGAAGATGCGTGCCAAGTGGAGAATGATTTTAATGGGCAAAAGTGCAGCCAGAACATGTGCTACAACTGGTACCATGAGAACTTCCAGTTGGGGAACCTGACTTCATGAGGGAGGCCAGGCCAAGAGCCAAGGTGAGCGGGACAAAGGAAGACCATTCCAGGAACATGCAGAGCATGAGCCAAAGTGGTGAGAAGGGAAGCTCTGCAAGAAGCCAGTGTGCCAGAAAGCAGAGGATGGAAGGAAGCCCATGTGAGAGGAGGCCGGTGAAGACCGAGGGGGCAGACCGCACAGCTATGGTGGCCATAGTGAGGAGGTTTGTCTTTCTTCCTGAGCAGGCTGGGAGGGTAGCTGTTGAGGTTTCTGAGTGAGGTTGGGGAGATAGAAAAGCAGGTTTGTGTTTTGAAAAGGTTAATCTAAAGGAACATTTTTCTTGTAAGGAAAATTCTTATCAAACACAAACAGGTGTATCTCAACTATCCATGTGGAGAAATTGAGCAAGTCTCCTAAGTGCTTCTCAGGGCTCTTGTGATAGGCCCTATATCCTGATGTTCGCAAGGCCCCTGTAGAGTCCACACAGAGACCCACATCCTATAAGTTCAGATAGTTACAGATTATAATCAAGTTAACGAACTGCTATCAATATGTTCTATCCTCTTACCATGATGAACATGTCTTCATAACTAAAATGTCAAAAAAGATGTGTACAACTATGGTTTTTATGTGACTCAGGGTTAGCGAAGTATCAGAGATTATTGAATTTATCTATCATTGCACTGTCTGGGTATTCTGTGGGGTCAATGAGATATGGGTGAATAGTAAAGATTTTTTAATTAACCATTTTCTTTTTTAAAGATTTAATTTATTTGCCAGAGAGAGGGAGAGAGCAAGTGAGTACACACAAGCAGGCAGAGAGGCAGGCAGAGGCAGCGAGAGAAGCAGGTTCCCTGCCGAGCAAGGAGCCCGATGCGGGACTCGATCCCAGGACCCTGGGATCATGACCTGAGCCGAAGGCAGCAGCTTAACCCACTGAGCCACCCAGGTGTCCCTAATTAACCATTTTCTATTCCACAATTTTTTGCTGCCCTTATAGAAAAATCAACAAGTATATTTTAATTAAGATATTCATGTAAGTTGTGTTCTTTTTACAGAAATACTGAGACAACTTTTTGGCAATAGCTTTGTTAAATATATTGACTATTGTACAACTCATCTATTCAAAGCTAGCATTTGTCTCAAATCATTTTAGTTGTGAGTTAGGTTGTCATTAACTTCAATCTGGAATTTGCCCCTTCTTGGGGCACACCAACCTGAATTGTTACAAAATCCTTAAAGCAATATTGAGATTCGAAAATGGACCCCAAATAGAACATAACTTGTGGTTGTGAGTTTGCAGGAGGAGCGAGAAAGCAAACATGGTAATGGGATCTCGTACAATAAATTATCTTTTTTTATTGAGATATAATTGACATGTAACATTATATTCATTTTAGGTACAATAAATTATCACAGAAAATGTTAGAAAATATTTCAGTTGTATCATATCAATCTCTTTCATTAAACTACAACTCTCATTGTCTTTTCATGCAATAGCTCGGTCTGATACTAACATGAAGTCCTGGCATCATATTTCACACATCATATCTGGACATCCCTTCCAATTTAGAGTAGTAGGAATGGTTTGATGTATAAACTGTTCCTCAGGTGCCATGTGCAGGGATTGTGACTTTGGAGTTGCTCCTGAACTACAAAGTGAAATGAGAGGAGGAACAAGAATACAGACAGTTGGCAAAACTGGGGATGGTGATTGACTGTGCAAGGATCATTTGTGTTCATGTATCTGAAAGACGGGAATGAGCAGGTGAATCAGACTTCTGTCTCTTGCTCAAATGCTCCCTGAGCTCTGAGGCAGCCTCCATCACCGCCATTGCTGTACTGGCAGTGATGAAACCCTCAAACATTTGGACATAGTTGCCTATGGTCAGAAGGAGCTCGGGACAAGGGATGTGGGGAAGCAGTTCCCTGGGGTCAAGACGGTGTTAGTTATAAGAGATGATGGTTAGAATTACTCCAAGGCACAGAGACACTCATGTACCTGTAGTAAATTGTGTGTGTGTGTGCGCATGTGTGTGTGTTAGAGTAAGAGAGGGAGAGTGAGAGATACATCAGGCCTTCTAAAGCACAGGGTAGAAGATAGGGACCCCTCTGCCTGGTGTCTAGGATACTACTACTATACTACTGGCAGGCCCTTTCCAAGTTCATGTTCACCCAATCAACCTATTCTTCATAATATAGACCAACATGGCCAGGAGGGTCTTTCTTTTTCAGCGTGCTCCTTTCAAAGACCACTGACTGTGTTTTCCCCCTTGTGTTGTCTTACCAGGAACTGGTGAAAGTGGCAAAAGCACCTTTATCAAGCAAATGAGAATCATCCATGGGTCCGGTTACAGCGATGAAGATAGAAAGGGGTTCACGAAGCTGGTTTACCAAAACATATTCACCGCCATGCAAGCCATGATCAGAGCCATGGACACTCTGAGGATACAGTATGTGTGTGAGCAGAACAAGGTAAAGTACCTCAGGGGCATTGGCCCTGCTCGCGGGTGCATGCTTTCCTCCTCTAGATAGCATGTGGCTGTGGATGGAAGGATGGTCAGGGTGCTTTGGTCAGAAACCTAGAACCCCATGGAGGTCCAGCTCCAGAAAAGCGTGGTAAACTTCAACTCCATGGTCTGTCTTCTGCTGGAGTTCCATCATGAGGGTATTGTGGTGGTCCCTAGCGCACTGGCTTCCAGAAATGCATCCATTTAGATTCCTTTTTTTCAGGTACTGAGAGAAGGAAGACATACACATTTACTCGTACAGCTAAGATACCCCGTGAATTTCTCCATTGGCGCAGTGGAGATCTTGGGCTTTTCCAGAATGCCCAGTCTTAGGAAATAGTGTCGTAAATGCCCTGCACACCACTCAGAGCTGTCGGTGGGGTTTTCTTTCTTTATTTTTGGAGCTAAACAATGGTTTAGAAGCGTGATGCTTATGTCTCAACTGGCACCAGACTCTCATAAAGTACTAGTATCAAGCTGGTATTTACTTTGTTATCACTACTGGTTATTTAAAATACAGTTATGTTTCAGGGGCACCTGGGTGGCTCAGTAGGTTAAGAGTCTGCCTTTGGCTCAGGTCATGATCTTGGGGTCCTGGGATCAAGTCCTGCATTGGGCTCTCTGCTCAGCGGGGAGTCTGCTTTTCCCTTTCCCTCTGCCCCACCCCCGCCACCTTGTGTTCTCTCTCTTGTTTGCTCTCTCTCAAGTAAATAAATGAAATTTTTTAAAAATACAATTTTGTTTCAAAACATAAGAAAAAAATGAAATGAGAATGTGGGAGGAGGAGGCAAATACAATTTTATATGGTATATTGGAAGGCAAATCCATTGGAAAATACTAAGTTCATTTAAAATCTAGACCAGGAATAGTTTTTTTTTTAATTTTTTCTTTATTTTTTTATTTTTAATTTTTTATTAACATACAATGTATTATTAGCCCCAAGGGGTACAGGTCTGTGAATCGCCAGGTTTACACACTTCACAGTACTCACCGTAGCACATACTCTCCCCAATGTCCATAACCCAGCCACCCTCTCCCTCCCCCCCACCCCCCCAGCAACCCTCAGTTTGTTTTGTGAGATTAAGAGTCTCTTATGGCTTGTCTCCCTCCCGATCCCATCTTGTTTTACTTTTTCCTTCCCTATCCCCCAAACCCCCCATGTTGCCTCTCAAATTCTTCATATCAGGGAGATCATATGATAATTGTCTTTCTCTGATTGACTTATTTCGCTCAGCATAATACCTTCTAGTTCCATCCACATCATTGCAAATGGTAAGATTTCATTTCTTTCGATGACTGCATAGTATTCCATTGTATATATATATACCACATCTTCTTTATCCATTCATCTGTTGATGGACATCTAGGCTCCTTCCATAGTTTGGCTATGGTGGACGTTGCTGCTATAAACATTCAGGTGCACGTGCCCCTTCGGATCACTATATTTGTATCTTTAGGGTAAATACCCAATAGTGTGATTGCTGGGTCATAGGGTAGCTCTATTTTCAACTTTTTGAGGAACCTCCATACTGTTTTCCAGAGTGGTTGCACCAGCTTGCATTCCCACCAACAGTGTAGGAGGGGTCCCCATTCTCAGCATCTTCACCAGCATCTGTCATTTCCTGACTTGTTAATTTTAGCCATTCTAACTGGTGTGAGGTGGTATCTCTAGGAATAGTTCATTTAAAATAATTGATACCATGATACAACAAGACCTCATGATAAATAGGAAAATTATGTCTCAGATGAGTCTCTTGTGGATCTACTAAAAAGAATTTAGCTGCTAAAATGTCAGCATTGCATGGGCTTTAGTGTGGACCCCAAGGACAACTTTCTCATGAACTTGTAGCAACTGTATTCATCTGTATTTTATATATGGTCTACAAAGAGTTGTAAAGTAGTCAATCTAAGTTTTTTATTCAGTGACTGAATTACACAGGGACATTGCATGCACCTAATTTTTGACTTAACTTTCTATTGTGTCTGCAACCTCATGTCTTTACCACCATTTCCTTACACTTTTGAAGAAATGAAGGAATGTATCTTGCTTCAACCTTCAAAAATGTTATGCTGAAAAATGTGTGTGTATGGGATTGGGTTGGAGAATTAACCTTCAGTTTATCTGGTGCCAAGCAATGTGAGAGATGCATACTGAACCATTGGGAGATTCTAGAAGTGACTGTAGTGGGTCCGTGGTATGTTGGTTTTGATACATGTCTTGTATCTGGTTGAAAGTGTGCAATTCTGGGGGACATGGGTGAACTCCTTTGATTGAGTAACCCACTCCTGGTTTCTGCTCAGGTCATAATCTCAGGATCTTGAGAAGGATCCCTGTGTTGGGCTCAGCATTCAGTAGGGAATCTGCTTGAGATTCCCTTTCTCCTTTTTCCTCTCCCTCTGCCCCTCCCGCTGCTTCTTTGCTCTCTCTGTCTCTCAGATAAATAAATCTTTTAAAAATTGTATAATTCTTTTTTGATCACTTACACAGTTGACCCTTGAACACCATGGGTTTGAATTGCGTAGGTCCGTTCACTTGCAGATTATTTCAATAAATACGGTAATATAAAGATTTACACTCTGTCATGGTTCTGGAGGCTAGAAGCCTGAAGTCAAGGTTGACGGATTCCACTTGGAGGCTCTGAGGGAGCCTCTGTTTTGTGCTTCTCTCCTAGCTTCTGGTGATGCTAGATATCCTTGGAGCGCATTGGCTTGTAAACATGTCACCCCAGTCCCTGCCTGTCCTCACACAGAGTTCCTGTGTGACTCTGTTCTTATGGCATTCTCCTCTTTGTGTCCAAATTTCCCTCTTTTTATAAGGACACCCATCATTGGATTAGAGCCCAACCTCATCCCAAAGATGACCTCATCAGAACTTGATTATACCTATGAAGACACTATTTCCAAATAAAGTTACTTTCTGAGGTATGGGGGTGGGATGAATTTTAGGGGGACATTATTCAACCCAGGGCAGTCTGCCCTCTCCCCCACCAATGCATGTTAATTTCACATGCAAAATTTATTTGTCCCATTCCAGCATGAACTGTAAGTCTCAAATCTAATTGAAATCTCAACTCAAAATTTTCCAAATCTCATCATTTAAATCATGTAAATCAGGTGAGATTCTGGATATGGTCTATGCTGGGGTCAAATTCCTCTCCTGTCTCCTCCTCATTTGCTGTATCTGGCTCCCTTCTCAATGCCTTCATTCTTTCTATTCCAAGTACCAACATTTATGCTTCATAAACTTCTTCTTAGCCCTCACAAAAATGCCTGGGATGAACCATAGGCTTATGGAGAGGCACAAGATTGAGTAGAAAGAACACTGGTTGGTTTCCCAAAAATCTGGGCTCTGTTCATGGTTCCCCTGTAGGCCTTGGGCAAGAGTCAGCAATCTTTTTCTGTAAAGGACCAGAGAATAAATGTTTCTGGCTTTCAGGGCCATAGACTCTCTTTTCTTCTCTGTCGTAGTGCAAAATCACCCATAGGAGAGGTGTCAACAAACGAGTGGGCTCCCTTGGAAACTATTTGCAAAATGTAAATGCTATTCCTAATTCGTGAGCCGTACAAAAACAGGCGACGAGTGGATTTTATCCACAGGCTGTGGTAGCCCACCCGAGTCCTTGGGGAAGCCATGCAGCCTCCCTGGTCTTCCGTTTCCCCAAAGGTTAAATGCAGACAACACCTGTTCTATCTCCTTCCTAAGCCAACATGGGCAAAAGGAAGTGCAGGACGCATGAAATGACACTCCAGAAATACAAGGTTATTATTGGGCCAAGTTCAAAACCTAAAAATGGACTTATTGTTTCTTCTATTACTTGTTTAAGTCTTTGTCATCCATTCCTTCCCTATTGTTTGCCAAATAATTTTTTCTGGGGGCTAGTCCCGATTCCAAAGGTGAAACTGTAACAAAGTACCCTGCTTAGATCATAAGATAATAAAATGATTAGAGTTCATGTATTAAGTAATGAGTGTAGGACGCTTGATACACGTGTTCTTTACCGAGTATTGCATGACTTGAAACAAATGATTAGTTAGGAGGGAGAGAAATAGAACCTTAAGTAGTTTTGTAGTCAATCTTTTCCTTGCTTATTACTATTTAATTCCATTATCTTGTATTTTTCAGAGGTGGGAACACTTTATTGGAAGTATGTAGAAGAGAACTAAGTGATTAGGGCGTATTTATTTATTAAGTAGGTTCTGTGCCCAGTGTGGGGCTTGACCTTGGGACCCTGAGTTGAAGGCTCTTTGAGGGCCTGAGTTGAAGGCTGTATGAACTGGGCCACCAGGTGCCCCTAGAGGGTCTTATTTTACATGGTAGTGATTTTATTGCTCAGCTAGGTTGTTAAAAATCTCTGCTTATGACTTGATAGGCTTCTTTTTTTTTTTTTTTTTTGGAAAATTTTATTTATTTATTTGACAGATCACAAGTAGGCAGAGAGGCAGGCAGAGAGAGAGAGGAGGAAGCAGGCTCCCTGCTGAGCAGACAGCACGATGCGGGGCTCGATCCCAGGAGCCTGGGATCATAACCTAAGCCGAAGGCAGAGGCTTTAACCCACTGAGCCACCCAGGCGCCCCTTGATAGGCTTCTTATGAAGGGAAATGTATCAGAAATTTAGTTCAGCCTTTGGTTTTTAACCAATTTGTTTGTTTGTTTTTTCTAATTAAGATATATAGCCTGGAAGATTATTTTCTTATACTTTTCCTGTTTTGTTTTGTTTTGTTTAAAGAATGATTCATATGTGTTTGCTCACTGTGTTGATAAGGCTTAATTTTCATGAATGTCTCTCAAGAGTGTCATATGAGCACATGGTAGAATTTATGACTTCTTGAATAAATATTACAAAAGCAATCGCTCAGTGGCAGGGCTCCTAAACGGAGTCAGCTTATAACTCATGTTTACTAGTGATGATTTCACTGAAGCCTGAAGAGCTTCATATTTTTTGCTGTTTGTAGCCTGTCCAACTT